GTTTGTAACTAGAATTAAATAATAATGAATTCAAAGAAAAAGAACAGTTTTTCTTTTCTAGAATGTTCACTTACCGAAGACGGTTAATAGCGCGGGCTCCGACATTCTTTTGCCGGCTAAATTTTCGGCGACGCAGGTGTAGTTCGCCATATCCTGAAAGCAGTCTTTAGTCTAGACGGACGGCGGTACTTCAACCTCATACAATATGAGGCTCGCTCGATAGTAGTCAATTTTGTAAGCAACGAACCTTATTTTGTAGCGAAAATACAAAACAGAGTCAGGTGAAAACGGTACTGGTCTTTTCAAGATTACGTTACTAGTACAAATGATTCTTTTTATTTAACAACAGTTACGTATTGTAAATATTTGATACTAGTTGTCACCCATGACTCCGTCCGCGCGGAATTAGAAAGATAATTAATAAGTAGCCTATGTGTTCTTCCAGACTATGTTCTTCATCGATCCAAAAATTCAGCGAGATCCATACAGTGGTTCTGGAGATACCTTCAAACAAACATCCATCCATCCATCCTAACATTCACATTTATAATATTAGTAAGAAATAAGGTTACATATCTCATTTTTGGCCATCTATATTAACTAAATTTTCAAAATTGTCTACAAAAATCCCCTGTATTTTTTTGTTAAATCCTATCACAGATCATTGTAATAACCTCAATAAATTTACGTTTTTATAAAATTTTCCCAACTGTATACTGTTTTTACAATTTGAATATCGTTAATGTCAATAAAAATATAAAGAAAATATGAAAAGAAATATGAATGAAATAAAAGCAAAGCTACTTTTGTGGAACTTAATTCATTGTATCATGAACCAGATATACATTTCAGTGACCGAAAAAAAAAACTGAGAAGCGCTCACATATTTGAATAAGCAATTTTAAGCAATCGCAATCCGCGAACAATGGCATATCAGAATGCGGGCTTAAAAATACGGACGTAATTAATATTTTTGTTACGAATATATGGTTTTTGTTACTGATAAATGTTAAGCCTTTGTTTCACTAGATTTTATGAGTTGACATAACTTTTATACGAAAAATACATGAACAATTCTCTAATTAACTGCTTTTTTATATTATAAGGTGGCAAACGAGCGAGCGGCCACCTGAAATCGCTGAAATAGCGATGTGACCGTTGCCCATAGACATACGCAATTGCATATGCGTTGCCTACTTTTAATCGACGAAGGAGAGGATTCACTGAAAGAAAATATTTTCCCTTCCCATGCATCCTCTCATCCGGAAAGTCCACTTCCACTTCCTATCCTTTCCTTAGAAGAAAAAGGGTGGCAAGAGAAAGAGGAGTAAATTAGGTCTCCGGGACGCACACTCATCAGACTGTACGCGGAATTGCTTCCACTGACGCCTGTCTTCTGTGCGGTCGTGGTATTTCACCGGGCGAGTCGGACGAATGTTAAAGCGGGCTCTACCACTGTTAGAACCCTACACTGTTTATTATTGTTAGCTTAAATTTGCAATTACGATCAATGTGAATGGCGAAATAGTGGAAAGAAAAGTTACTATTTAACACTTTTGGTTACCTATTTACAAAAATTATAAATTATGTTAATATGACAAGAAAATATCAAAGTAAATGCCGAAGTGGTGGCACACCAATAAACCAATAAACATTGTTTTTTCATGATTCAATTCACTTACCAGCAGAGACGCTTGTTTGATGACCAATTCACCTTCTTTGACCTGCACATTGTCATCAACCACCACTGGGGCACCGTTTTTTAGCCAGTAGAGCTGAGCAAAGGGCGCAGCAGGTGGTGGTTCACAGCGAAAAGTTACTGATGAATATTGTTTGACCAGTTGTGACTCCGGTGATACTGAGAAATGCTTCTTTATATCTAAGGACATAAGAATTATATTGCAATAGCAATACGTTCCAGATATATGATTTAATACAGCGTATATTTTTATAGATAGTGAAAATAATAGTTTACTCGCTACAGGAGTTTTTGGTGATAACATAATTATATGCGTTTCTTCATCATTCATCATCAATTACATTGATTAATTGTCGTTCATTCTTTTTGGATTCATTTTTCATTCATTCATTCTTTCAGTTTAGATTTGTTGTGTTGCATAGCTTGAATTAATTGTCAACTCCCCTACGGATTATATTATACCAGTAATATTCTTTATTACTTCATAAATAATGCGTGCTACTGCTAATATTTTACGTAGCATTGACTCTAAATATAATACTACTGTCAATTGTCCCCAATATCCCCCTACTCTACAAGACAATTTTATGTCCAGATTTACGACGTACTTAACGGAGGAAAACATCCTTAATGAAACCTGAAAGTCTGAGAAACATGTTTTCACAACTTTAGAACAGTAAGATAAAGATATCAGTGAAGTTTTAAAATCTTAGTCAATAGCACATAAAAATAGCTTACACGGTGAAGCAATTGATATAGAGTAGGAGAAATAATTCCTGCTTGGTTTTTAGTTATTTATGAGTTTAGAAAGATCTGGAATTCTTCCTATAATATGCAGCCGTAAACTCTAAAAAGAGTTTCATCTGAACATTATGATGTCAGACAACTTGGATCTTAAACGATCTTTGTCCATCATTAAACAAAAGCACGGTAGAAACAAATTAAGAATTCTATTTTTGAATTGTATTTTTATAGAATAACTCACAAGCTAATTCAATGGTGGCCGGCTGGCTCCTGATCTGACCCTGGCTGGTCCACGCGAAGCACGAGCACTGGTACTTCTCGCTACCGAAGTACTCCTCAACCTGCTCCCTCGTCACCTCGTGTTCTCCCTCGATGATCCTCACCCCAGTTTGCGGGTCAACGAACTCGAAGTTCACAGCTTGAAGTTTCTCACCGTTACATTTAAAATATACCTTTAAAAAAATTTGTCGTAAAAATACAAACAATTTTGAACTCTTTAAGAATTAATGACGCGAAGGATATTTATTAGTGGACCCGTGTCTCTTTAGTCATTTATTTTACTATTAAACAAAATCTGTCCAATAACATAACTTATTTCTAAAAGGATATAGAAAATATCACTTGCTAAAAACCTGTCGTATTCATATAAATGGCTTAATAAGGCGCAATTTTATGTCAAATTTAGAACCATACAGTATTGTATCTACTATTTTATAAATCAAAATAACTTACAGTATGGTTATCGTACAATTACTAAAACACAAGCAATTGTAATGTTTAAAAACAATTTGTACTTACATCTAAAGCATTGGCGGCGCGACATTTTAATGTTGCAGCTTTGTTTTTCACGACATAAGTATTTTCGGGTTCTAACAGAAATATGGGAAGATTGTCTTTGGTCGTGTGTAAAGGGATTTTATCGTCAACCGGTAAAACTTCTTGTGGATTACTGGCAACATTAACATCTGACGTATCTTTGTAATTCGCATCTTTATAATCGTAATCTAAATATGTATGTTCATCTTCTTCGTCCTCTTCATCAGTTTCATCATTGTTGGGGAATACTGGTGATAAGAAATAGTCTCTAGCCTCATTGTTTGGATGATTAGAAAGTTCTAGAGGTTTGCGATTTATATTGTCCTTGACAATTTTACCTCCATTGTCATCTTGATGATGAAAATCTACAAATAGAATTACCAGTTTGCAATAATTCAAATGTTACCGTATTTAAAATTTAAAAAACTTAACCAAAGTTATGGTCAAAATTATTTTTTTTCCAACTACGGACGGGAGAATTATAAAAACAATTAGCAATATACTTTAGATTTTTTGAAATGAAACATGAAAAATTTACTACTACTATGAAGATTTAAATTTGTTTATTATAACGATAGGAAACAGACAAATATATAGCAACACAAATCTTCACGTTGTTATATAGACCGGTATTATTTACTTACCTTTTCCCGTATTTCCATTTACATAAGTTGCCAATTGTGTAAATACAACTAAAAGTAGTGTCCAAACCTTCACATCCATTTATACACAAAAACCTTACGGAGTCATTTAAGAAAAAAGCTTCGTAGAAACCATAATGTTCCATAACTAACTTTCAGATCACATTGTTTAAATCATTTAAATTAAACACAACGTTATTTTTAAAACAATTGAATTCACATCTCTAATAAAAGTTAAAATTATTTACCGCACTTAGAAATCAAAATAGAAAAAATATTTGTTACGTCGTAAAAGTTTTCCCGCTTCAACCCTCGCAGCGATAGGTGTCGACCCCGCAACGCATACGATTCAACTAAATACAAGGGGATGAATGAATGTTCCCAACCCAGATAAACTTTACTGCGCATGTTTGAAACTTGCAAACTTATATACACGATATTTTATAAGGATTTTACTTTAGAATCATTTGTATTGAATTGATTACTAATCTACAGAACTTCATAACGTAAGTTAACGACGGAAAAAAGACAATGCTTAATATCATACTCACCATGGGTTTCTGAGACTAAAATCTCCATTTAGAACATAAAGTGCCTAACATCCAATCCAGCGGTTAATCGATATACACGATTAAAATATTTGTTTGATTATTGCAAATAAATATTCTGCTTTTAATAATTTCGAATAGCAAAGTTTCACTCAGAAACCTTTGCTATTTTTTCCATATACATATATTTCTATACCCAAGCGAAGCTAACACGCTTTTGTTCAAATAATAAACGCTAAATAAGTTACCATAGTAATTTATTGATATGTTGACTACATCTTACTTTCTTAATAATATTATAAAATCGAATGTTTTGATGGATGGATGGATAGATGTTTGTTAGAAACTATTTCCAGAACGGCTGTATTAATCTTGCTGAAATTTGGCACAGATTTAGAATATAGTCCGGAATAACACATAAGCTACTAAAGAAGCTTTTTTTAATTCTACACATCCGGAGTCGCGGGCAGTAGCTAGTTATTTTTTTTTTAAATATTGAAAAACAAATTTATAAGTAGATTTATTGTAAAGTAATGTTTTTTATTGTAATTTTTTATGAAGGTCCTTTAAATACTCCAGAGAATAATTGTTGATTTTTTCCAAGTACGTAGAACAGGAAAGGATGGTCAGCTTTTATTACTATTGGCTCCATGTACGATAGATTTACTATTGATATAGCTGTAAAAATATTAATAATATTTAGTAATTCATAATGAAGTTTACAAGTTTCTTTAAAGTTAGACAAACGAGATAAAATAATTTAATTCATTCTTTAAAAATAACGACTTTCAATAAATTCAAATAAAATACAATTTATTAAATAAACAACATTTATTTATAGTCAAAATAATTAAACGTGAAATACACCGTTTATTGTGGCAAATAAATAATTATTTTATTAAAATTTTAGGTATATAATGCTTTCAAATGATAATTTATAATTATAAATTATTAAATGTACTTTAAAAAAAAGCCCCGAAAAATAACTGTTGCGTTTGCGCCTTAATATAAAACAAAAACGGATGATCTGCATAAATTTCAACATTGACTTTCTCTGAAGTGAAACCAGTGATAGCTGAAAAGTGGGTTTTAAATTTATTTAGGCCTTTGAAAAAAAATGCAGTGATACGTTTTTAGACTAATATTCACTCTTTACAAACCTTTTTCGGTTTCTTGGTTATGTCTTTTCTTTATTAAAACGAATATGAAATGGAATCTTCGTTAAATATTTTTTTACGATATTGAAGATACATACATCTCTCGATGTTATAAACACGACTGTACTTATTTTACGTTAATAGAACACACAAACACATGTCAATTCTTAAAGAAATTAAGTAGATTAAGAAAAGATATTTGTGCGGCAAAACTGCGTTCAACGTATGCTTGCTTCATTCTTTGTTATTTTTTATAATGATTTTGGTAACGTAAATCAAGTAAATATTAAAGTTAAAATGAAGTTAAGTAATTAAAATACAACTTACCAGATGACGCGGCGGCTTCTGTGCCAAATTCATTTACCTCTATGACGGCCTTCTGTATCGCCGCAGAGACAACTAGAGTTTCGTTCTTTACAATATTCTTCAGTTGAGATTTATCCTTTTTGAATATTGTACTTATTCCTATCTGTAAAAAATGAAATCAGTTTTCGTATCCACATTTCTATAACAGTTCATTCACTTAAAATACCTGATTTTAATTATAACACTAATATCGTGAGAAGGTTCCTGTCTCTGCAGCCCTGACCGTTGGTTGTTTGAGTCATGGGACTCCGCGGCTGGTTGTGCTCTATTTTTAATATAATATATTTTGTATTGTTTTTCATTTTCTATATGAAATATGTTATATTAAATATATGACAAATAAATAAATAAAGGAATTATAAATGTGAAAGTTTGGATGGATGACTGGCTGTTTGTTTAAAGGTATCTCCAGAACAGCAGCATGAATAGCTGAATTTCGGCACGTACATAAAATTCCGCGGAGACGGAGTCGCGGGCGACAGTGTGATCTTATAAAATAAGTTTAATAAGCTTATTTTTACACTAAATACCTTTTTATACAAGTCACGAAGATTCCATTCGGATTCGATTTTAAATTTAGGCATCGTTAACTTAAGTCTTGTTTTTTCCATCTTCGATATAGCCCAAGACAACAGATTCGGTTCGTTTTTCAAACGTTCCATGACAAGATCCAGTTCGTTTCTCTCCTTTGGAAGTATTAAGAGGAACGAAGCTTTGTTGCCATGGTATGGTATATTTATTATCTGTACGAATTAAACATAAATAATTTACATGGAAAAAAATACGTCCGAATAATTGTACCAATATGACAACAAATTCTAGAATAATACGAATCGACTACTCAATTATAAAAATCCATCAAACTGTTTAGACTCAGGAAGGTCACTTTTAAACGAACGTACAACATGTATCTACAGCTAACTATGGTTGGATATTTATTAGAAAGTATGTGTAGAAGGGCTGCTTAGATCTTGTTGAAATTTGGCATTATAGAACGTAGTCTAGAAGAACACATAGGCTACTATTTCTTTTTTAATTAACGCGGATGTAGTCGCGGGCAACAGCTAGGACAATGATTTTTATACCACTTATTTTTAGCCGACTGAAAAAATGATAGTTATTCGCGACAATTAAGGTGTCATTCCGTTTGTGTTCTTCCCTTGAGTGTTAGTGGTATAGTTAGTAAGGTTTTTGACTTTTAATAAAAAAAAATGTGTGCTAATAAAATTATTTAAACTTTCGAAAACACTCAAGTATATTCCGTCCGCGTTCGCGAAATAATACCAGTCTCATTCATCCTGATGAAGGGCCCCCAATGAGCTCGAAACTAGTCGGTGCCACCGGACGAATATACGTGAGTGTTTTAGCCGTTTATATATTAGTTTGTGTTATAAGTACTTTTTTACCTGCGCCATTAAAGGTGTGCTGAAAGTGTACTCATAGTCCATCGTATGGGACATCATGGGGATTTCTCTCGTGCCATGCGCCGAATGAAAAGTCCCGACATTGACCCACGGAAAAGGGTATTTCCATTTACCCTAAAACGTTAACAAAAACTTTGAAGTTAAATCTTACTGTTTACTCATAAATGCCAGCGTGAATCTGGCTGAATTTTGGTATATATGTCGAACAAAGTCTGGAAGAGGACAGGCTACTGATTAATTTTTTTTAATCCACACGAACGGAGTAGCAGGCAACAGGTAAATTGAATGGAAGTCGCTGAAATCTGCTAAATATGTAGAACATAGTCTAGAAAAACATAGGAATCGCTGACAAAAGCTAGTAAGATAAATTGTATACTATCCATAAAGAACTCGGACTCGGTGAATGAATTCGTTTTAAGGTTCTTTTTAAACACATTTTAAGTTTAAGCACATATATGATATTTTCTTAGTACTGTTAAGGAATTAAACAATGAGACTTACCGCAAAATAAATAGCATTTACAACGATCAAAGAAGAGTCAGAAGAGATGTCATTAGATGATAGTATTGAGGGTATCATGCCGTGGGTTTCCGATGCCACCTACAAGTATTAAAACAAATAAATAGAAAAGAAGTAAAATTCAAACTCTAGTTAGTATCTACAACCAGTTATGGTAGGCCTATATCTACCCAAAATCATTTAATAAATGCTAGGAGATTTATCTGGTGACGGCAATAGTTTCGAACTGATCAGGGCCATTCTTTCACACATAATGGATGGCTGTTCGTTACAAGGTATCTCCAGGACGACTCAATGTATCTTAATGAAATTTGGCATGGATGGAGAACATAGTCTGAAAGAACACATACGCTACTAATTACGGTTGCGAGCGACAGCTAGTTACTTATACAAATGTAATCAACATACGTACCCAGCCATTGATGTTATTTAATACTCTTTGAGTATCCTCAAAGTCGACCTCTTCTACTGATGAATTGAAAATGCTTTTTGCCAATTTAGAAAACTTTGAACGGAGACGATATTTATTCGACACGTAAAGTTTATTAGCCAAGTCCAAAATAACGCCCGGCAAAAATTGGAGTATACTTAGAACGATCTTAAAATGATATTCGATCTGAAAAAAAAATATGAAGAGATAATATGTAAGAAAATTCTATTACAATTTTATTTATAACCATTTAATGTAGAGTGCGGTTTGGTGTTGGTATTGAACCACTAAATTCATTATGTATTTGTTAAACTCCGTGAAAATATAGAGATGTATGTCAAGGGTACAGTTGACCTCTGTTAATGGACTGGCTATAAGACGAGATATTTTGTGCCTATTTGAATTTTACAACTTATATCACTGTTGATACCGGTTTGTAGCGGTGGTGTGGATTCGAACTAATAATATAGATAGAATTGACTGTCATGTAACATCAACAGGCGTGGTTAATTTAGTTTCCAAGCAATCGTCTATCCATTTATATCAATGGGTTCAGTGCAAAAAAACGCATAGTTGTTCTTTTGTTTTTTTTATTTGTTCTTGCTTGTGTTATTTCTGTTCCTAACTAACCTATATGTATCATATGTATATGTCATAAAAACAAACGTGGTTATTTTTTTTGTACATTGTCCACGAGCACCAGTTAAAACAGTGTGTTAACCGTCCACGCTCAGTTTTCTGCGCAGTTGTTTTTCTTGACGTTTAATCTCGGCGTCCCCATTCCCACAAAGAGATCACAATTTTAATTATAAGTACGCGCTCCATTTTCAAAGCTGTATTTAGTGGAAAGACAAAGTGGTGTTTTCATGTTTTTTTAACTTATCATATGTCTTTATTTGCAAGGCGTGGTATTTATCTGTGTGTTCACCAATTTCCCGTGAATTGTAATTTTAAATTGTGTTATTGTAGATTTTATTTATTAATATTTTCCAATTCCAAGTTATTATTATACCCTGGTAACAATTGTTAGGAAGAAAATCCGACCCTGTGCCTCTGTACTGGCGCAACACTAGCCTTACTAAAATGTCGACGTTTATATCCCCTCACTAATCATTCTGACACTTGACTTTGGTAATGAAAGCGCGCCATTCGCGCCAAAGGATTCTAGTAAATAATCTCTAAAAAGATCGTATCACATACAACATGTAGATTAAAAGAAGTTCCATTTGTATAATAGTATAAAAATGCATTGCCAAGAAAAATATGTACAATAAAACAAAATTTCTTCTAAATTATGTATTAGCGTTAGCCTCGATCTAATCTTATCGAATATTTGGATGGATGGATAGATGGATGTTTGTTATAAGATATCACCAGAACGGATTAACGGATCTAAGTGAAAGGCATTGTTTTAGAACATAATCTGAAAGAACATATAGGCTACTAATTGCATTCTTTTTTAATGACTGGAAGTATAATTTTAAAACAAAATAAATTATCAAATCATATTAAAATCATACCCCCTCTATAGAAGTCTCATACTCCATGGAGAAATCCGACTGCACTCCGACGGCTTTTATTAGTTCATCAAGGGTTTTACCCTCTGCTCCCAAGGCTAGTTTACCGATGGGCAATAAAGCAGAAATCGGAGAACAAATGATACTGCTATGAGGCTTTAATAACACAGCTTCCTAGACATAGAACAAAAACAAATTGTAATGACACTTTTTACTTCAAAAATATAACAAATATCTGCTAATATTTAAAAAAAAAAAAGAAAAATTTACATTTTTTAATCCATTATTTTTTTACATCTGTTAATTTACTTCGTTCACTTTATTTCGTAAACAAGAAAGACCAGTAGTGTCATGAAATGTATCTTTTATAAAAGTTATCACTCAAAAATAATGAATATGTAAATATCTAATGGCATTTACAGTCACACATATTTTCTTTGGCAAAATAAAGTTGATGTAATCTTAATAAACACATGTACCAATATGTTTTTCGATTTCCGATTTAAATATGTACATTTTTCCTACGTTCTTACGGTGAAGGAAAACATTGTGATGCAACCTGCACATATCTGAGAAAAAATTCAAAGATATGTGTGAAGTCGACCAACCCGCACTTGGCCAGCGTGGTTGACTATGGGCTAATCACCCTTAACTTAGGGTAGAATCCGAGCCCCTCGGTGGGGACGTATAGTGAGCTGATGATGATGAATCAGTATTGCTTTGAATTTTTTGACATGTGTACCATTAATAAAAAACTTACGAGTGCGAAACTTTGTCTTAATTTGCCTCTAAGATCAAAGTATTTGACCTCTTCGCCAGCATAATAATCGTAGTCATCCCCTAAAGTATTTGTGGGTAGTTTACATAAAAATGTTATTACAGCAACTGGAAGAAATATGATAAATAAATATTAATCTCAGTTAAAAAAAAAAAAACAAACCCAACTCAATGATATTCTAATAATTGAAATTACGCCATCTATTATCTGCTAATTTTTAATTTTGACATAGATAAAGTTAAAATGTAAGCAATTGACAAAAGTTATGGCGAGTGAGATTTTAGTTCGTGTTTTCGCTATTTTTTAGAATTTCATCTCTTCCTTCCAATATGTGTGTTTTGTGAGTATGTAATATAGGGTAATGAAGTGACATAAATTTAAATATTATTAAAAATTGGCAAATTATAATAATGTTCATCTTTTCGCTTTTACTAGCAAAAAAATATTATTCTCTGATCTTAATATACTATGATACAAATACCTATTGCCGATGAACTAACAATTTAACCTATATACTTACCAATAAAAAATGACCGCATATTCAAACAATATTTTTCAATCTGTAGAAGCTATTTTCACATCTTCGGTTCAAGTAGACATTAAATTCATGTACGACAAGCATTTGTTAAAATCCAGCATAAGCAATTTTTCAATTAGATATTTTCATTAACGTTGATTTCCATGCTTACCTAATTTCATACGACTTAACTTTCAATTAATGTTCAATCAATCTTGTATTAAATTATGTATGTAGACATAAGAACCATGGTAAACCAATGCAATGCGGACATTTTGACCGTGAACTATTACTAACGTAAATTATTGTACTAGGATGTTACGTATTCGTTAAATATTTTTTATTTCAAGAGAACAGGAATTCGTTTAATTATGCTTGGTGCTTACCTATTTATTTCTTAACTTTCTATTTTCATAGTGCAGTGCCATCTAGTGGTACCTAATAGTTGACAGGATAGGTTCACTAAAGTCTCTTATAAATAAAATGAGTAAGGGTACACATAGGTATATTTAAATTATTAAACTGCCACAAACAGTACTAGCACTCAACTACTGCATATTATTCTACAAGTTCTTATTTTTATTAGCAAAATAATGAAAGATGGCAACACTGATTATATAATCTTTGGTCAAATCAATCGGCTTTCTACAGTTTTTTAAGCTTGGTTCAATATTGTCAAATTCTGGTTCTTGTCAAATTCACAAATTCCCAAACTGTTGAGTAGAACTGTTAAGAATTGAGTAAGGTCAGTTTTATCCAATTCGGCTTTTTAAATCACTAAAAACGTTTAAAAGTAAGTAAATTTTATAACATTTTAAAGAAATAAACCTTACAGTAAAAGTAAACTGGTCTTTTAACAATTTAATAAACAATCGTTTCATTCATTGATCGGTCTTTCAGAACTCAAAATGATTCCCAATGAGATTTTTGCCGAAGATGTGATGAGTACTGTTATAAGATATGGGTTATACATCGGCGCCGCTTTTCAACTTGCTTGCTTGCTAGCTTGCGTGACTCTTACGGACGAACAAAGCGATTCTCATCCATACGAAAAGGTAAAACATACCCATAACATTTTAATCGAGACCAAATCAATGTGAATTCCATTTAAACATTTAATATCAATTGAATTTTACTAAAATGGCTTGCATCATGACTTTCTCTATAATTTCCTTTTTTATCAATAATTGTAAATTGTAATAACTTTTAAAAACTGGAATAATGCTAAATATAGTGTACAACCTGAAGCCTAAACTACTTGACAGAATGAATTAGCAGAGTCAGATGATGTTTAGATTCTTTTCCAAAGTGGAATGTAATAAATATACAGTTTAGTCTTTTTTTGTATTTCTAATTGTTTGTGTTTCAGGCATATACAGACAGTGATGAATGTAGCTCTGAACAGTCTTCACCTGGACATAGAGCCACCGTATCGCGTGCTCGTCGTCATGACAAGAAGAAGCGTCGCTAAAAAAGTAGTATAGAGGTAAAATTACTGTTTGAATGAAATACTCTTATTGTCAAAACTGTTAGAATTTTTTAATGTCTCAATCTATAATAAAATATTCATAATGCTCTTTAAATTCTAATAATATCATTCACAATGACTTTAAATTATTTTACTTGTAAGAACATATATCTTAGGCCCATTCCAAGTTAATTTTAAAATATTGTACTATTGGATTGATTCATATAAGTAAACTATAGATGTAATAAATTTAGTCAGTTATTGATATTTGGGGTAATTTTTAAATAATTTGTTATTTCAAAAAATAGTTGTACAAGTTTTTTTGATAAATTTTAATCATCTATGTTCTAAAATAAAATATTTTAACTTCTTACTATATTCTAAGATTTTATCAATTTATATTTATTTACGGTTATTTAAACCAAGACCCATTTTGGGTTTCTGCGTAAGTGGAGTAATTAAGTGATTTTTCTTAGTAAGAATTTCAAGTTATGGAACCCCAATGATGCTTATATATTACATTATGTAAATGTCATTATATGAACAAAAAATATGTCAAATTTATGGACACATTGTTTTAGTAGTTTAAGATATTTTTATGTCAAATGTGTATTAAGTTTTTTATGCAATGGTTGAAATGATTTGCTCATATACAATTTTCTTTTGGTATTTATATTAAAAATAATCATGTTTGATCTCACTTTATATTTTCTGTATTTTGTGAAACTAAGGTTTAAATAAAGATACATTTGAATCTCAAAAGCGTTTTATTGTTATTGTATCGACTAGAAACCTTACAATGTCTATTATTGCTCACTTATCACGACTAACCACTGATCTGTACAAATGGATAGGCTTGTTACAATATTTGCTTCATCCCAATTAAAACTGTTACGTTGATGTTACGTGACAGGTAATTCTATCTAAATTATTAGTTCGTATCGACACCACCGCTACCATCTGCGCCAAAATGGCGAAAATCAAATAGGCACAAAATACTATATTTTATAGCCAGTCCATTTATAGAGGTCAGTGTGACTAACCATAGAATCCCACTGCTGTAGCTCTTGGACTATAACATATTGCCATCCCTTTCAAACTCTTTGACAAAACAAAGACAAGTATATTAATAGAAATGTCACAGCGTTGTTATTCTATGGTAACAAGTAAAAAATCTCATATAAAATTATTTAACAATTTGTACATTAAAAAGCCCAATATAAGTACATTAATAACATTAAGAGAATTTTAATTCTATCCCTAAATAGCACCAAAATATGTTTATAACTATATATTTTTGTATACATAAATAACATTTCATTAATAAATAGAATGAATATGGCACAATTTGGCATTGAATATTTGTACTACGTTTTTTCTGTATGTTTACAACATCAAAGTTATAAATTATTTTTTTTTTGGTAGTTTTGTCTTCACAAAAATCTTCAAAAATAACATTTCATTAAATCTCAAGTTTACACAAGCATTTTATAAACACTAAGAAATTTATTTTGTAAAAATTGATAAAAATAAAGTAATATTTGATATAATTTTATATTTACCTTTACGATTAACTCTTACTGCTTTGAAATAAATTGCCTCCTTTCTCATTTTGTTGAGATGATATTTCATAGTTTTTTTCTAGGTAGACGTGTATTCTCCACGTTATTTTCGAGTAATTTACATATATTTATCAACCATTATTCACAAATTTAAATCATTGGCATTTAATTTATTCTTAAACCTTGAAAACAAAGTTTATTTGGACTATTGCGTTACACTTATGTGAATTCTTCATGGACATATAAAAAATCCTTATATGTTCTAATTTACATAATGAGGACACTTCTAACCATTCAGGACATTGTTAATACATAAAGTTTCTATTCTGTGTTACTTGTTAATAGCAAAAGGGAGATATTTTGTACAGTGTAATACTTTTAGTAACATTAAATGCAATATTTTAAAGCGACTAATTAATGACCGGTTAAGCTAAAATTATGTGTTTTAAGCGCTTCCACAAAATCGTTGTCCGATAAAAATTGTTTGAAAGCTTCCAACTTTTTAAAACATATCGTCACACAACACATTTTTTTATTTTTAACACTGCAACAATCATCACTTGATAAATTAACAGATTCATTAGATTTTTTACAACACCCTGTACTTTCACTTTGGCACGAACAAATAAAATCGTCAAAATTCATTGTTGGCGTTTGTTCACATTCATGTAACGTGTAAACACCTAAATCTTCTAAATTAGAATTATTATGTCTTCTATGATAATGTAGAAATGTATTATGATTCGTATCGGTTGCCTTTCCACAACCAACTGCGCATTTCATTTCGGCGTGATTACATTTACAATCGACACAAGAACATTTATCATCGGGACAGTTTGATTTAGCAGTTTCATTTGCTAATTTATCACCACAGTTATTTCTACATTCACCATCTGGATTGCAATTGCATTTACTACAAGAACATATGCCTACATCAGCTGCAAGTTGCTCTAAAGGATTCCTTTTAACAAGTTTCTTCCCAAATATATTTTCCGTCCTCACAACGTACATATCTGATGGTGGTTCATTATCAAACAGCAATGTATCTTCTAGAGCCAAATCAGTATTAAATAGTACAGAATTGGCTGGATTAATTTCTATTTGTTGTTGCACTCTAGACGGTGAAGGAGTATTCAAAAATCTATCAGATAAATCAGTTTCTTTAAGAAAAACATCCAATTCCGTATCCAATTTTGGTGTTGTACCAAAATCGAAATTGGAAACTAATTCACTATCGTTGAATACTTTAGGACTGACGTCTAATATAGTCGGACTGTCTAGATCGAATGAATCTTGCGATGTTATATTTGCTGAAGGTGCAACTTCTGATGTCAAATCTATGTAACTTTGCATATGAGTTGGCACAAATGTTGCTAGAGTGAAAATACTTTCTGGTGCTTTCTCTTTAATACATACAGGTGTGTTTTGTATAGACGCAGCCAATGCGCTAACATCAACCCAAGGAGATTGCAGTTCTATCTCATTAGCTAAAGCTAATTCAATAGCATTAGATTTCACTTCAACTTTCTGATTTTCTATAGGTACTTCTGTTGGAATAATTGGTTTTAAATTATTATCAACCCATGTGTTATTACTTTTTTTAGTAAGATCAGGTAAATCTATAGCATTAAAATCATATTCTGCAGCTAAATTATCAGCTTCGTTAAATTTAACGATGTTAGTTGGAGTTAAAAGCAGTTCTGTTATATCAACGTTATTAGGTAGTTGATGTAAGATAGTCATGTCGTTTAAACTGCCGTCATTTGAGTTAGAATCTGTTGTGATTTTCGAGAAAGATTCTAAAAGACCGTCCCAGTTCATGCTGTCGTTTCTCGGTTTGTTTGTTTCGTTATTCTCAATAATTTCTACAGCTGGCGTTTCGACTACAATCTGAAAATTAGACTCATTTTAAATTCCCAACAAAAAAAAAAGATTTGAGAATAAAAAATATGCATAAACATAATTTTTTTGCGTATATTAGATTATTTTACCTGTTGAGTTTGAGGTAGTGGTTTCGTTATAATCGGCGTGATGAAATTCCTGCTATTTCCAGATGAGGCTTTCACTCGAGAGCCAGAGTGCGTCCGCCCGTGTGCCTTCAAATGATGCGACGCCGTGAATGATTTACCACACCCATCTGTCCTGCATCTGTAGATTTTCACAGAAATAAAACACCAATTTCGGAACACCCTGTATTCACTACACAAATGCCTCATTCCAATCCAATCTAAGCCCATAGACAAACTACAAACTGTGTACAAAAAGTTGAAATATCGTAATGGCTGCTGTGTATGGAATTTGACATTTCTCTGTTCATTTAATTTATGCCTTGGATTAAAACAAGGTATAGTAGCAAACACTAACTTGTATGGCCTCTCCTGTGTGTGAGTTCTGATATGTTTTTTGAGATCGCTTAGTGTTGTAAAATATTTCGCACACCCATCTTCCTCACAATTAAATGTATCACCGCTGTGTAGTCTTTGGTGGGCTTTAAGCCTGAAACAACACCAAAAGTAAAAAAAACATGTGGATTTTTAAAACTGCAAAATGCAGGAACAACAACACTTTTTACACATTATTGACTATCAGTAAAAATTTGAGTTTTAAATATAGACAAGAAACTTATTTGAATAAAAAATTAACTCATGTAGTCGTCGTCTATATTTACTTTTTTATTATAACTGTTTAAACTTTTTACACACTTCCAAAGTATCATTACACTTTTGAAATGACATTTTGGCAAGATGAGTGATATTTACAAAACATTTCTAATCTCAACATGACAACTGAATAATATTGACATTAAAAACCTGTCATCTTCTAACATCTCATTACAAGTTTGACACAATGATTAAAGGTGCGCTTCCACTGTCAAGATACAAATAGTGTGTCTATGGATAACATCACCACAATAAACATTTATTCTTCAAATAGCTGGCAACTCCTACGCGCAGAATAAAAAAAACTATGGTCTATGTGTTCTTCCAGACTATGCTCTACAACCATCCATTAAGCCATTCCAGAGATGCCTTCAAACAAACATCCATCCATCCATCTAAACATTCACATAAATGTGTAAATATTATAAATAATATTAGTAAGATAGTAAGATTCTAGAAAACGTTACCAAAACATTAATAGAAGATATTTCTTTACGCGTAGCTATTTATAAATTGCTATCTTATAATAACAATGACCTATAAATACAAAAAAACACCAACAAAATTACACTTGACAACAATTCCCAGCATGTTAGGCATGTACAACATACAATATATGAATTGGCAGATCTCCAAACACACCATAAATCACCAGGCAAAATGTTAACCACGTGATCTCTGTTTGAACATTCACTGATTTATCCAACACCAAAGCACATACCATGTCATTAGACATTCTGTTACTTTGAATTAACAATTTTTATATTCCAAAACAGATTTAATGGTTTAATACATTGCTATAAAGTTTCTAAATTACAAGAAAATACAATCAATTAATCTTTTTATTCTCTTTTATAAAATTAGAAAAGATTTCCCTAAAAATGTTGTAACCCAACAATATGCAGAATCTTACATTTTTAATTTTTAATTCCATAGTCAAATTCTAATCACTTTAAACTTTTTTTAACTCAAAATAATCACTATATGTCTGCAATTTGAATTGAATGTCTGAAAGGGAATGAAAAGGAAAGATGTTTTATCCTTTTCTTACCTTTGGTACTAAAGCATGTGACTAAACATGAATTCGGAACACGGGTTCGAATCCCGCCATGTACCAATGTGTTTTTCGATTTTGATTTACATATGTACATTTATCCGACGTTCTTACAGTGAAGGAAAACATCGTGATACAACCTGCACATATCTGCGAAGATATTCAAAGATATGTGTGAAGTCAACCAACCCGTGCTGGGCCAGCATGGTTGCCTATGGCCTAATCACCCTTAACTTAGGGTAGGCCCCGAACTCCTCGGTGGGGACGTATAGTGAGCTGTATGTATAGTGAGTGAGATGATGATGAAACACGAATTTCCAGTGTCAATACATCTGAATAAAAGAATATAGTTATCCCTCTCAATTGTTTTGAAAAGACATAACAATTTGTTTATATACAGGATTTTGAAACTGGACATTTTAAGTCAACCTATTTGATAAATATGTGACAAGAAATTTATTCTGACTCACCTGTACAATGTATTGAATGCTTTATTACAGTTTCCAATAGAACATACAAACGGTTTAGTTTTTGTGTGAGCTCGGACATGGATCTTCAGACTGTATGATGTAAGGAACGCCTTGTTGCAAGTTTGAATTGGACATACAAATCTATAATCACCTGAAAATTAAATAAAATATGTTGATTGGATAAATCAAAATAATATAAATGTAATCTGTTTAACCCATTGGATATCAATAAAACTTTGGTTATAAAATATTTATTATGGAAACTAAAGCTTTAGTTCCTGGCTAAATGCCAAACATCCTTTAGCCACCTGTTTATAACAATACAATTGGGTTATTACGAATGAATATTGCCCATCCCCTCCATGTTCACTAGTTTTTATTGTATTTTACTCATCTGCCAAAAAACATATCTCTTATGAGATATTTTTCTAGATTTAAGTTTTTGTTTTGAGTCTTCATTAGTTACCTTTGTGTGTTTTCATGTGTGTCCGTAGATTACCAACTGTGCTGTAAGTTCTTTCACACCCATCATATTCACATTTGTATCTTGCTGAATTGTTTTCCTCCAATTTTCTTTTGGTCTTAACATTATTTGCTTTATGTATATCAATGTTTTGTTTCCCGGGTGATTCATTGTGTCTGAAAAATATAGATACATAAACTAATTAAAATCATTATCATGTTATTTTATTAAACTGTTGGAAATCATAAATTTAAATTTAGATACATACACTATTAAAACCTCTTCTAAATAAATTGTGGCCAGTAGCAAAAAATAAATAAAAAGGTTTTATACACTTGAAGCAAAAGCGTGTAATCTACTTAATTACTTTTAGTATACAATTATATTATTGTACTTGTAAATGACATACAAATGTAAGAAACATGAATTTCAAAGACACTTTAATACTCTTAAAATTAGTAAAAGCAATAAATTAAACAGTAGAACAAAAACAAACAGTATGAATAATAAATGCCAAATTGGAAATGTTGGTATTAATGCTTGAACTAAATGATAATTTGTTGCTGCATGGAAAATATATTTAATTACATCAGTTACCTCTTCATTATTACTTATTATCGTACCCTGATCATTATAAAACACAAAATTAGGATATTCATATCGTATCGTATCGTGATGGTAATGTACAAAAATAGAATGCCCAAAAATGAAACTTCAAGAAAAAGAACCCTTATAAACATTTCCACGAGTGAGAAAGAGACGGAAACATGTTGACAAACAGCTGATTGAAGTGTAGAAAATATTTTGAAAACAAATATTAACCCATCAAATGAATATAATTAATGAATAAATAAAATTATTTATAAATTTATGGATCAAATATATCATAGAACACCAACCTTGGTACTTCTCGAGAGTCTGTTACTAAAATATTATTTTCTGAAGTTGCGACGTTTTCAACTTCTCTTTTGATTACTTTGGGTACTTGAAAATCACTGAAACTATCGTCAAAAGACTGGTAATTATTGATTAAATCACTGCTTAAATTAAAATCTTCCACCAAGATATTACTTTGTACGAGGTTATCGGAAGAACCTCTGTCACCGAGCCATGCGGCCATATTTGTTTCGATTATGGCATTGGCATATGACTATGACGTATAGAGTAGAGACCGTCGCGCCACCGTCGTCATATCGAATCGATAATTGTCAAAACCGGCATTCGAGAAGTGCAGTGACCTTTCGGTAATAGATGGCGTTAATTTCAAATTATCTCAGGTGGAGAGAGCGACCGGCACGGAAGGCGCCCGCGCCGACTCCCGGCCGAACTCCCGTTATAATTGAACAGCAACACCACTTGTCTGTGCGGGCAGTGCGCCGATCGCACGCCCTTCTAATAGCGCGAATGTGTCATCTTTACATACGAACAAGATTTCGCATTTAAAAGTGTTCCACTAACTTTAAGTTTTATTTATATTTAGTGCAATAAAAGACATTTATATTTTATCAAAATGTGCTCGAAAAGTATATCTTTTTATATTTATGTGGTAAGTATTTATAGTAAATTAAAAATTATTAAATAGATTAAGTTTAAGTATCTGTATTACATATATTTTTGTGAAAAGAAATTTAATAAAATAAGTATAGTCAGTACTTACTATGTTTGATTAATTTATTAGAGAGTATTTAAGATTCGAAGTTCAATTTTTTTATAAAAAATAAATATGAATAAGGTTAGTCTTATTTAAACTTAACTTAAATCAATATAGACTCGATTGTTGTTATACTTGTTTTCAAATTCTGGATGCTGATAGAAGATCTTTGATACATAATTTAGCCGAGATCTCTAAAGCTGCACGGTCGACTGACTCATTGCCTATGCATTCAGAGCACACCGTTCAGGGAGATAGTAAAAAAATATGAAACCGTAGGTGAAGTTATCATCGCTTTACTGTTATGCACGAAGCGGTCGCTGTCTAAACGCATTAACGTGTCATTAGTTTAAGTTTGCTGACCGCCACCGCGTTCCGTAATTTTGAAACTAATAAGATCATTTAAATATTAAAAGATATCGCCGTTCACAAAGATTAACCCGTTTGTTCTTTTATTTGCATTTTTATGCTATTGACAAGTTTACTTTTATTGCCTAAAGCACAACACTTACGACTTTAAACTAAAGTGGATAAACATAGATTATGAAATTCTATTTGGAGAGGTACTGGTTATCTATCTTTAACTTCATTTATAGCTGCGTTTTCATGTTCTTACTTTGAAATATCGCCATTAAAATCACCAAAAATAATTGCTACAAACCTTTCATACATATTACCCCATTTGACGAAAGCAGGACGTAGATATAGCTAAGCTTTGAGAATTATCTGGGACTTTAGCTTACGTTAAGAGTACTGATTTAAAGGTTTTGTTTTTTTTTAGGGTTTTTTAAATATAGGAGACATATAACAATAAATTAAAAGAAAACAAAAGCGAAGAGAGCTAACAAATAATTTTCATTCATGTTAAAACATTCCGCTACTTCTGACGACTACGATGTTGAAATACCGCAATACGTGAGATGTTTTATCCAACATTTTCTACCGTTCATTGGATGATTTGTGGAGAAAACTTGTGTTTAATTACTCTAAAAATAATACTTGCGTGTTTTGCAATGGAATTGTAGCAAAAAAGAGCCACATGATTATTTATTAAATTACTTGTGTCTGAAATATGGCATCTCCATCACATTGGTAACACGGAAATTAATTTGACCATAAAAAAAAAATAAGTATGTCAATCTGTGTCCTTGCGTTTAAATGTATGCATTTGAAAATTTAATTAGACTTTTACGTGATTCAATAAGTATAATAGTATTTGCGGCATTTTTTTTTTAATTTGAAATATATACCTTAGAACAAAACTTGCATTGATACCCCAAACCTTGGTGTTACGTAGCTTGCCTACTAATAGGATTTGTTTATTAATATGCGTTTAAGAGTGAAACTTGCCAAATCGTATAATCCAGACTTTCGCTTACAAATACACATGTAGGTTTTATTAGCAACTCATTGTAAGCGCTACTCGGAATTCGAGAATCAAGATGTCTTAATACGTGCCACCCATACCATATACCTGAGAATCCGTACACCACTTTCGCTTGTTCTTTACACTATTTTCACTTGTTTAGCTATTTGTTTAAATCCTTAAAAAGATAACTTAGAAATTTCAACACTGGTATAGCACAATTGTCCAAATATTTTTCCAACACATTCGTCATATTTTGACAATAACTGTGACAATCTTACTTCTTACTAATATTATATATGCTAATGTTTGGATGGATGGATGTTTCTTTGAAGGTATCTCCGGAACGGATCGCTGAAATTTAGCATAAATGGCGAACATAGTCTGCAAGAACAGATAGGCTACCCAAAGTTTTTTTTAAATTCCGCACTGACGGAATCGTGGGCGATAGCTTGTGAATAACGAATTTTAAAATACAAATTTAATTATGTATTTCACTTTTTCTAATTTCCATGTCCTACATAAGTATGTTGCTGTCTAATTTACATAATCATGATCAAGAATCGTTACCGAGTTGACAAACGCGTCTCGCATCATATATCTTGTCTTTCATCATTCATACTTTCATCAATCAATATACATTTATCGATTTTATTTTAACTGAATTCAAGTACTTTTAAACATATTTTCTATATTTTCCATACTTTCGTAATACATAAATCATTTCAGTTTTATGTATGCATGTATTGTTAGGAAGAAAATGCGATATTGTGCCGGTATAGTGGCGCAACACTAGCCTTACTAAAATATCGAAATTTATGTCCCTCACTAATCATTCTGACACTTGACTTTGGTAATAAAAACGCGCCTTTGGCGCCAAAGGATTCTAATTAATAATGTCTAAAAGTATATTATGGACTCATAGTAGTATAAGAATAAAAGGATCAAATTTTAAAATAATGTAATAATACGGTAAGGTTAATAGTTACACTAAAAGTGTGAATTCTAGAACTTTTTGATTATAAATACTTTTTAGTATGTGGTTCTATTTAAGTACAAACTGTACATCGTGTTAACATTTCCACACCAAAAATCGATATGTAAATGTTTGCACCTTATACTAATTTGCGGATTTTGTCGTCTCTGACCGTAATTTTTCCAATATAACGTTACTTTATAACGGTACTGCTGTACTTGATATTATTTAAACAACATATATGTTTGTTTTATACAATTCAAGTACAGTTTAAAGTTAATAACATATTTCGCAACGTTAATTAACCTTTAGTTTTTACACAAAAACGTTTTCAATGTCAGTTCAATGACATGTTACACACTTGACACAGATATCGGACACTGGCACTTTCTTTCCGGTAAGTCTTTACGAGTCGCCGCACATCACTAAAGTAAAAATTGTACCGGTTATTTTTTCTCTTTTATTTTTGCATTCTTTTATATTTAATAATAAACATAAAATAATCATATATTCAGCATCTACTAATAAAAATTGAATATTGATAATTTTATATCAGTAGGTGTATTTTCTCGAAAATGAATGGGATTTCAATGTCATATAATATCCTTAAAAATGTTTGTACATTATTCAAAACCGAAAGTTGTAAAAAATGGATATGGATGTAAAAAAAAAATATTTTCACGGCTTAGTTCATTGCTATGTCAACCAATTATATTGTAAAACTTCATTGCTATACTAATTGCAGTGGCTCCAATTTTCAATAGATATCAAAGGCACTTTCTAAAAGCTTAGATGAATCATTTCCAATTGCACGTTACAAACCAAAAAAAGAAATATCTGAAAAGACAATAAACGTTGTAACAATGAGTCGTTGATTTCTTGTTAACTATACCGCTATGAAACAAGATAATCGTGAAACTACAGCAATGGATGCGTAGACTTTGACAGGACAGGTTTTGTTTGGCGCTGGCGGGCGGGAACTGTGTCATTCGGCCGCGGCATACATACCGAGGCGGCTCACGTACCCGTCGGTGAATTCGTACGACCAATAGTGGATAGTAAGCTATGAAAGTACCCAATTTAATTGCTGCAAAATACCAGTACGTACTGGAAATTTAATAACCTAAATTTACTAAAATTAATCCAGTTATTGGCGATTGATTTAACGTGACATGGTCAAGACATGATAGACATGGTCTACCATAATATCGATCAAAAGTGGCCACTTCGTCTTATGAACAGGATAAATCCCGCGCGTCAAATATCTCGAACATCTAATCCTGACCTTGTTTTTGATGAACACAATGATGGAACTTAGGAGATTTAATACTCTCCACCAAAGATACTTATTTTTTTATTAAACACATCGTAATTAACTTATTTATAAAGGCAATCTCGCATTAGATTTGGCTTCCTTATATTATTCCATGTTTATGATTTATTAAGTTTGAGCTTAATAAAAACTAAATCAGGAAATGTCGAGTCATGTCTGATGAGCAATGCCGTTATTCCATCATCAAGGCGGCCCGTTAAAACAATTTGTATGTTAAATTAATGGAATCTCCTCCCCTTAACTGTGGCTACATTACATGATAGCTTCTTTTATACCGCTAGAAATGCTTGATTACCACTATGATCGGAATGGCAAATGGCAAAGTATTTCAAGATCCCGGACCTTTATTAAATCTCTCAATGGTTTTACAGAGTTTGAAGTCGACACATTAAGCGATGATCTGTCTTTGGTTTTTCTTACAGTTTAAATACATTTTAATAATTACACTTTGTGTTTATTACAGGCATTATTAGCAAGCAGTTTAGCAAGCGATTGCGGGCCAACGTTAAAGTACGCGTGGGGAGATGCGCTACTCGCGTCAGACTGTCCGGGTCCTGATGGTTCACCATATCCAAGGTAATTTGTGTATTTAATAAAGTCAGTTAACATAATGTGAAATGTTAAGTAATCAGGAAAATTAAAGTAGGCTTTTAATATTTAATCTACACTAAGGGATTTCCAATGTGACAACTTCACGACTGGAAGTGCTACAGTAATAGAAATATCAAATTTTATGATATTTGTGACGGAATTATAAAAGTATAGAATATGATTTGTGTGCCCACCACTAATGCTACTATAGCTAAAGTTCTTCACATAATTATAGGTATCTTTAAATAAGTAATTTCCGTATTAAAAATAAAACTCCCGTCATGCTGGCCGAGTTGATTGACCCCATATGTCTGAGTAAATAATATTTTATTCAAGTGTAGCAAATGTTTAATACACATTTAATATTGCCAACTAAAAAAGAACAAAGGGTTTTCATTTTATCTCGGTCTTTGCAGAATGTTACCAGAGGTAACACACGTTAGTTACCTCTCAAAGAGTTAACTTGCAGTATTCTAAAAAACGTTCAAAGCGACCTATTTTAAAGCAGTCACGTCTGCAAACAAGATGATTGTTGTGTGTTTATGAACTTGAAGATACCGTTAATGCTTTTGAACCCTCGAGACACGCGCTCCTGCGTTCCGTGGGAAATTTCACATAAAGACGTTCGGAGTGTTTGTAGTTTTTAACGCTTACAACATAATTTCAAAATTATACTCATTGTCTGTCATCTCTGCGGAACAAATTGGATTTAATTTCCTTTATGAAGTGGCAATTGCGAGATGCGGCTGAGTGTTGCTTGGATGTAATAATAACAACAACTAGACAATTTCGCCTGTACCTAACGAAGCACAACTCAACATCATCACAACATCCTATATTTCCACTTTTCTCGAAGAATGCCAGACTATTAGTGGAAATAAATCTTCGAATAATAGGATATCTTCGACAACAATTTTTAAAATCGATAATTGATTCTAGATCCCAATTGCAGTTATAAAACTTTTACTAAATTGAACAACACAAAGACAGTTGAAGTGATGAGGTAATAAGTATCAAGAACATGTAATCCTGGTACAAATTGTAGGATAACATATGTTGATTATCAAAACGACAATAATGGACGTCAAACATCCCAATTTGTTTATAAAACATACATTGTCTCAATGCTTTTGTAAAACTAATTTCATCATTGTCTTCTCTCATTGTATACGTAATTGTTAGGCAAGGGATTTCGGCGATGAATATTTTGTCAACAAATATTTGAAAACTACAACTATGCTCAGTTAAAAGATGAAAATCAATATCTGTCTTGTGATCTGGATACATTTAAAAAGGTAAAATAAGCATAAGGCAGGACAATCAAACAGCAGGCTTGATAGCCGAAACACGAAATGAGGGTGCATAATATACTCAGATGAGTAGTACGTAATTTCATCCATCGAATTTCTCTCATAATTACAATTTTTTTTTCTCGTCTCCTAGTCATTCCTTAATTACAAAACCTTCTGCTACTGCTTTGAAAAATAGTTTTTAAACATATTTTTAAAATCATTACTGTAACATTCCAGACACCTGGTAAACAGAGCTTTGAAGTCAGGACCATGGGGCCAGTCGAACCGGCAGGGGCGAGGGCTACGCACGTTAGATCCTGCCATCATGAGGCGGGCGTTACTCGAAGCTCACGCCGGCTACGGTGAAGCATCCAATGTTCAAGTACAAAACGGGAATCGAACAGGTAAACTTCTACGTTCTTTAACAAAAACCATGCTTCAAAATACATTTATAAAAGAACTTTTAAACTTTTATCAAAATACAACGTGGGACACTCGGGGAAAGAATACTTTATATATCGTATAAGTTAATATTGCATGATTTACTTACAAATAAAGATAAAATATATAAATGTGAAGAGAAAGTCAGTATTTAAAATCTAGGTTACATAGATAGTAAAAACCGGTTTGAAGTAAAATGAAATGTATTGTTATTGGTTGGTTAACTTTTTTTGACTGAACAAAGTAATCATTTGAAGTTTACATTTAAAAAATGGCTTGGTATTTTTTTTACAAATTACAAAAAACATTTTGGTTCTATATTTCTCCGTTCAAAAATAACTATGACAAAGATATAATTCTGATAGACTTGTGTAATATACCTTCAAGATATAGATGATAAGCCATTTCATAACTTGGCCAGGCCTCAATTCGAGAAAGAAAGCCATGACAACTCATAAAAATGTCACCAATTAAAATACAAACAGCCGTTTAAGCTACCTCATAGTGAAAGCTATGAATGACTCATCCTTAGTACATGAAATGAATATTTATTTAACGTTAGCTTATAAAATGCCTCCTTACAAACTTCTATATTGTAACTACTAACTTTTGTTTGTTTTCAACAGCGTGGAAAAATCACCCTGGGTTACTTCTCCATAGATCAGCTATTTTTCAATCCAGTTAAACTCGGTCCAGTTAAATTACTCAGTTAATTGGAAGTAGATTTTTATTTATATTTTATACAGACATTAAAATTATATTAATTAGATAGTCACTAACTTTAAGATAATAATTTTCAGTAAAGTATTTGACTCTAAGTAAACCAGAAAAACTAACTATTGATCTAGTGTGATTCGAATTTAAACATTATTTGTTATCGTTAAAATATGCGATTGCTCTTTGTTCAATTATAACAATGTGTAATAAAATAAGCTTATAGAATCTCAATAAGAACGGTGCCAAAGGGCTTTGTACTGCTTTACAAATCTTATTTGAATAAGTGAAAGTAAGCTAAGACCACGATTGACACGTACCTACACAAATAAACAAATATAATTTGCATAACGACTTTTGCGAGAAAAGTGTGCCATTTTCCTTCCCAAAACTGAAAGAGGATGGATTCAGGAATGATGCTTATGGAATGCAAACTTCTTTAAGTCATCAGAATTCTTCCATAACAGTTGTTTATGATTTTAAAAAGTAGCTCGTCGAGGCATCTGTGAAGGCATTTCAAGAAGGGCACGACATTCAGAAATGAAGAAGATCGTGTTCTGTTTTAATATTGTATAGATAAATAATTTCAGCTGTTAAAGACTTTGTTAATTTTGGAGAGTGTAGTGTCATTTGTTTTGTACTGGATTACTTATAGGGGATTAATTTTTTTCAAGCCGTTTTTCTGATCCACAGCTCGAGCCAGCAACATCCCCTCTGGTCTATCACCGGCGAACCCGCATACTTGCGGCAGTGCTCGCCTCTGTCGCACGCGGTATAACACCACTGCGCCTATGTACGGTGTGTCCCTTACCTCGGGACAGCCTGTCACCATCGTACAGAAGTTCCCCGATCTACTACAACAGGTCGTCTTCGAAGTTTGCGAGTGAGTATCAAGTTACTTGAAGTTATTGACCCAGGAACAGCAAAATGTGATGAAGGATTTACATACAAGTCTATTTACTGATAGATCGAATGCCAATTCTATTAATTTACTTATTTTAATATTAAATACTAACATCATATGGTGGCGACTATTTTTATGTACCCCGAGATTGGAATTACTATTTGCAAGTTTTGTAAACAAATATTTAAATGACATGTTGTTTTGATTATGCTATTACTAGTAAATCCAATATAATGAGAATGCGCTGATTAAGCAAGTCACAAATAGAAATTCAAGTCACCCTTGTAGTGGTTACAGAATAAATTTCGTATGTGGCCATACTTGCGGTTTTTTTTATATCATAAGGTGGCAAACGAGCGTGCGGACACCTGAAATCGCTGAAATAGCGAAGTAACCGTTGCCCATAGACATACGCAATTGCATATGCGTTGCCTACTTTTGATCGACGGAGGAGAGGATGCACGGAAAGAAAATATTTTCCCTTTCCATGCATCCTCTCATCCGGAAAGTCCACTTCCACTTCCCATCCTTTCCTTATAAGAAAAAGGGTGGGAGGGAAAAGAGGACTAAATTGGGCCTCCGGGACGCACACTCATCAGACGAAACGCGGAATTGCTTCCACTTCACGCCTGTCTTCTGTGTGGTTTACATAGTTGCAAGCATGTTTGGGTTAAATTGCATAATGACAGGTTCGATTCTAATCAGTTTAAACTTACTTTTTTTTAATTTCAGAACAAGTGAATGCTCCGTCCTCCGTGGTACCTGCACACAGACATATGTACCCTATTTATTCTTAGTATTACCTCTTGGCCCTGTCACTCTCACTGGTCAGGACTACGTATTGGTTGAGTCTGGCTGCGTTTGCAAACCAGATCCCATATTGTAGATATATTTTAGGTTATAATTTAAGGAGTGATGCTTTGTCGTAAAAAGTATTATGTGTATATTCAACGAAAATTATTTGGTTGTGAGATTATAGAAAATTGCATAAAATTATTAGATCCATCGACTTATTTTTGATTCAAGATAATTGCGTAAACTTGAATGTATGGAAAAAAGGAAGACTAAATTGTCGTAAAAATATTATGTATAACATAAATCTAATGGATAAATTATCGTTCAAAGAAACCTTACACATATTCATAATAAAAATGGATGCATTTAATTAGTTATAGTTGTTAAAACCACAAAATCTATTAAAACATTTCTGTAGAATGTTTAACCTAAAAGTGTTCTAAAAAATAAAATAAGTATATTTTATAATTATAAAAAAAACTGTAAAATCGCCGAAAATCTTCACACATCGATTTGACGGCCATTTTGTGGACAAATATTTATTTTGTAAATCTTTTATAGACTGAATATGACTCTGTTAATTTATTATTTAGATATTTATTTTTAGCGCTGGCAACACTGCGCGTATTAACGTAAATAAATCTGATTTATCATTAAGTTAATTATGAACAACGAATGTATCAAAGATAAAAATAAATTAAGATTTTGTCTTTTATTTTTGTTTTATTTTGCATTTTTGTAAGACCAGTTAATATGAGCTTACGGCATGAAATAAAATAAAATTCTGACAAACACCGAATATCGATACTCGATTGATATAAGACTAACATACACGGATTTCTTTAAATAGTCTGTATTAAACGCCAGAGCGTGGGGTGGCGCTGTTAAGCGCTTGATTGGATCGGACCAAAATATAAACGTCTAAATTTCATATGTATATTTATCTGGCATTCTTACAGTGATGGAAAACATCGTGATGCACCCTTTATATATCAGCGAAATAATTCAAAGATATATGAGGGGTTAATCAACCCCGTCGAGCCAGCGTTGACTATGGCCTAGTTATCCCTAATTTGGGTAAGCTACTTTTCGGTGGGGACAGAAAGATACTCATCGGTGGCGGTTGTTTTCCGAACTGAGATCCTGCCTCCCCCCTAATTAGCGCCGGTGGCGACCGCCGTGGGGTTTTAGTCGGTGCAAGCCCGACATAACCTTTGTCCCCAAG